AGTCAAGATGTTTGCCTGAATTTACTGAGACGCATAACGCATAGTCCACAGGCTTTGAATATTTCCCTAAAATGATTCGGTGGGATGAGAAGTGGATTTCTTGACCAATTTGGCTTAGATTGATGTATTTTGTGAGTGGGCAGGCACGTTCACTTTCCTCTTCCTCACACCCATTCACCGAGCCAGAATAAAGCAACATTCGAACATTTTTTTAAACAGTTTGAGAGATCTCGTCCGCTGCGTTACCTCATCTGAGAGGAAGATCCACTTAATCTCCTTGGATGTCTTAGTTTTCCAAATTGGCTGAACCTTCAGTGCCATTTTGCTTTATTTTATTACTTCTGAGATTTTGAGATAAGCAAAAGTGTAGATGAATTCGAAATTGTTCTAGTCCTAGTAACCTCAATAACCGCAGCACTCAGTTGTTGCAGAAAAAAGGACAATACCATTATACGTACCTGCAAATGCTAGAGCAACTGTAAGAATGGCTGCATGCTTGCTCCACGGAGGGGATGCACGCTCTACGCAGACCACTGCTAACGCCTAATTTGACATTCGCCCAGGGGAAGTGTCATTCCGCCACCGTGCAATTTCTAGTTCGAGGCCTTTAAATCAAAAATTTAAATGGACTCAATTATGATTTGCGCACACGCAGTATATTTTCCGCATCATTGCTCAATTTCACTTCTTTACATGAAAGAAGCATAAAAGCGTGGGTTATTATTGCTTACAGAAGTATGGTAAATGGCTTGACTACCTAATCAGTTAGCTTGCAGGGTCTGAAGACGATAAGCATGTTTTCGCAAGTGGAGTGGTAAAGCGGAACATAACTAACCCAATAGTAAATGGCACTTTTCAGTTAAGCGTTTCCGGCCCCATATGCTACGCATTTGCATGCACCATGCCAACGGTGTTGTTTGTGATTCCGCTGGTCCACTAGCGCATGATCGCGCCTGATGCTCGAACATTCAGGCACGTCATTTGTGGTCGCCTTAGTTCCACCGCGCTTTTTATACTCTGCACCTTCGACCTCCCCAATAGTCTCTACATTGTCTCTACGACCATCGAAAGTATGCTTCTGTCACACCTACCCTAGCACTTACGATTGAAGAGACAAGGCTAGATGTCAGCGAGATTGTTTAAATGCTCCCTTATAAAATGACTCGTCTGAACGTACCACCAAAAGGGGCTCAAGTTGCCCTTATTCGATAGAACTAAATCGTTGAATAAAAATAAGAACCCTAAAGCGCAAGCATTAAATAAGGCACATACGCACGCCAAACTTCTAGATAGCCAAACACATTGCAGATCTTATTGATGCGACTCCACATGGAGACTTGCTGAAGCAGCTTAACTCCTCATTAACAGTTGTAAGATTGGAATACAGCCCTTATTCTCTTCTCCATCAAACACATCAGCATTTAGCTCAATACAAAACAATGAGCAAGCGGGTAGAGAATACACTGAATGTGACCGCACACACATAGGTGCAGATGCAGGATTAGCAAAATAAAACTATCACTTCAGCTCGTAACCAGGACATTTTACAGCCGGTCTATTGAAAGCATAACGAATAGGCAAATTCTAAACAGTACGTTCATTCTCACCGCTCATGCTGGAGGCAATCAAGCTGGTCGAGGGCTCACTTAGGAAGGATGTTTAATTTGTTTTTACATTCTTCTCAATACATATGCCTTCCATTTGAAGCTGGCAACCGACTTTTCTCCAGAATTTCCACAGAAATAACCTGTGACTTGATGTGGATAGTCGCCATAACCATTGCTAAAATTTGCGTGAGCTGCGCAAATTTGTGACAAGTATTTCCTGTCTGCTATGATTGCAGTGTGTTTTTTATGTTCTCGTCCATAGCGTTCTTCATCAGTGTCTACTTTCTCAGCATAGGTTGAGTCTGTTAAAACAGCTAAGCATTCATCGTAAACAAAGACACTTTATTGTGCGCACAATTTACAATTTATTCTATTATTTGGAACCGAAGTACTAACTTCGCGCATTTTGAGTATCGCTGTGCATCACTTGAGGCCAGCACTGTGATTTTATCTATAAAAGACAAATCCGCAGCTTCTCAAATGTCGCAACATTTTAAAAAATTAATTGCATTTGTAAATTCATATTGTGAAATACTGCATTTTTTGCAAAAATAATTAGGAATCGGCTTTAGAAGATGGATTAACAGCTAAATTCTGTTAATAGTGCAAATAAACTTTAATACTGTAATAAGTAATTAAAATTATGCATTATTTCAACTTATTTACACAGAAAATCAAATAAGAATCACATCACACCTCTATTTTATCACTGACATACATATTATTTAAATCATGCTATTCTAATATGTAGCGTCCCGCGACTCCCTGAAGACGAAAGAAGACGAAATACTCGGGAAGAATACATATTTTTAGCGCAGAGAAGGTGTCTGGGCTATTGGCATGGCCCAAAAGGCCAGCCCACCCAACGAAGTAT